GGTATATGGGTGGGTTGGGGTTGTTAGTCAAGAATATTGACTATTACTAGTTTTCCCAAATAAAATGGTGATCTACGGATCGGATATTTTCCAAGTATATATATACTAATAAGTATTTCATAATTTGGGGGAAGGACTATTTATATAAGTATCACCCTATGTTTGGGTCTCATACTTGAAACGCTAGTTATTCTATATTTAGCCTGCTACTCGCTCGGTACTTGTACTGACCCCTTCGGGGGGGGGGGGGGGGGGGGGGCACCATTTTCAGGTTGAAGCTAGGGCTTGCTACTTGCACCTTCTTACGGGTGATATCAACTTCAGGAAGACGTGGTTCGTGCTTCCTTATTTTCTTTCAAACTACCGAACACTTGCTCATGGATATTTGTTCTACTATAAACTATTTTTTGGGGCTTGCATGCCCATGTTGTTGGCCGGCCGTGGCTTATGACTTACCATTGAATATTTCCGCTATTCATTGATTTAAATGTGATGTTGTTATGTATGTTTACGACTGAATATGGATGGATTATTTTCTCGAACGCCTTGTGTAATTAAGTGAGGTTGACTCGCGGGTGACGTCACTTGGTTATACGGCGGTTGTACACGCGCTTGGATTGCAGTCTGGGGCGTGACAGAAAGGATTTTGAAAAGGTTGATTTTGCGGCTGAGATTGGAGTGGATTTTGGGTGACTGGAGGTAGGTGCTGTCTCAATTGAAAGACTTGATTATTTGGCCCTATACTTTGCATCCCATAAGTTTGGTTCTGAAAAGTGGTTTCGGAAGTAGTAGAGGCGTATTTTGAAAAAGTTGTTGTAATGGGGTAAGATTTATTTGAGGAGTGGAGTGATTTTGAGGAAAGAATGGGGTACGGCAATTCTGAAATCCAGGGGGGTTTCTAGGTGAAATAGGTGGTGAAGACTGAGGAGAGGTATTGACGTAAAAATCAAGGTGGTTTGAACCTCAGACGTCCCAGCTGTTCCGGATGAAGATGGTTGTTCAATGGTTGCGTTCTTTTCTCTTAACGCCTTGCGGATCTGTCCCACAAGCTTCTCAATCTCAGGATTAAGAGGAACTAGCGGTTCTCCCTTCTTTGAACGTGTATGCATAAACAGACTGACCTGCAAGGTTAGCAGACAAAAATCCTACGAAAAACTAAAAACAAGTCACATATTCTAATTAACCCTTAAATCTGACACTGTCCCCGCCTCCCCGGCAACGGCGCCAAAAACTGATGTGAGTTTTCTCGCACTTAAAAATGTTGTAATATAATGGTGTAAGTATGAGTATAGTCTCCACAGGGACGGACAAAAGAGAATAAAGAATTAATTAAATTCAGCGATACAAATAAATATAATAAAAGCGTCGTGCGAGATTGATTGGTTGGAAAATAAAACTAATGCGAATAAAACGATTAAACTAGGGGAGGTCTTTCTAATTAATGACAAAGAGAATAGGGATCGATTCCGGGGTACTCAGATTTCTGGCTGATCAGGCTTAATTACATGAAATTATTTTAATTGAGCCTAGGTGATCATTACTAAGTTGTTACCGTTCTCGCGGCGTAGAGTACAATAATTTAGGAGACCAGGCAGATCTCTCATGCGACAGGATCCTAAATTATTGCCAAGTCAAACGAGCTTACGGTCCCTTAATTGCTACTAATCTCTTAGCGAACGATTAAGTGTGTGTGAATGTGTCCTAGAACAAATTAGATCTCTCTTAATCTATTCTACATGCAATTGTAATTCTAGTGGCCATCCGGGTTACAAGAGATATCAGTTAAATTAATCAAACACAAATTAAACATCATTCATACAATTAATCCATCATGAATTTAGCCATACATCATGAATAACCCCTTCATCAATCCCAAATCCCTCATCAAAACTACTCGCGATTCATAATTGAATAATCAACGGAATTGGGATGAATAGAAATAATTGTCATTAATTAAACAGATAGAACTTACAAAGAATCCCTTAATCTTGAAGAACAAGGCTTGAAAAGCTCTCAAACGTCCACATAGGGTTTATCTCTATAAGCTCATAAGTGAAAAACAGGCAAAACTGGGGTCTATTTATAGAAAAATCTGAAAACATGCCGAAAATCAGGCTGCACGGTTGACCACACGCCGTGCATGTCACCGTGCGGGTACGCGCGCATTTTTTTCCGTCTCCGACTTTTACTCCGCGTGCACGGTGTGCGGGCGACCGCACTATGCAACCGTGCGGGTACTTCTGGGGCCTATTTATGGACCGCGCGGTGTGCGGTTTCGGCCGCGCGGTGTGCGGTTTCGGCCGTGCGGTGTGCGGTTCAGACCCCTTAACTTTTTGCTCTCAGGATCACCCGCGGGGCGTGCGGAACTGACCCGCAGGACGCGCGGACTGCTCTAGAACCGTTTTCTTGCTATTTTCTTCCTCGTTCGCTCTCAGATGCTTCTTTGATCGGTCCAAAGGCCGTTTCTTCATCAAATATTCGTCGTGAACCTCCCGGTGGCCTCCAAAACTCTCAAATCTCTCTCGAATGCTCTCCAACTCTTCCCGATTGCTTCTCAAGCGCCAGTGTCAGACTCTAAATTCCTGAATTTGACTCCAAACAACACAAAACTCGAACCAACGCCTGGTAAACATAACTTGAGCTAAAATTGAGACTTCTGACACCTAAAAGCTAGGAAAACCATCAAAAGCCTATCCCAACACGAATCAAATGCGTGTTGTAATACGAGCTTATCAGAACCGTAAAACCAACACAAATTGAAAACCCAAATTAAATATTTTTAAAATGATTAAAAATCAAATTTTAGAATAAAATTAATATAGAGTTTTGAAAGTTATATTTCAATATAATTTTAAAAATAAAAACGTTAATATTATTAAGATTTGAATTTAAAAAACATTATATATGCATAATAACACTAGAAAAAAAAAAGCATAAATTTGAGAAGAAAAAAAGTATTAAAATGACAAGGAGTAGTATTTACCTGTTTTTATTTTTATTTTTATTTTTCTTACTTCCGCACTATGGTTGGTTACGTTGCTTTATAATTCGATAATGTCTTTAATTTAGTGTTAGATCTACAATAATGTTATTGTACTCTTGGATCGTGGCAAATTCAACATAGGATAAGTGACGACAATACATCGTCGATCATGATTGGCTTAATTACAGTTGTACAAGTGGGGATTAGCGAATTCTATTGCTCCTGATTGGGCGATAGTGTCTGAATCTGATCCCAGTGGCCAGGACGTATGATCGAATAATGTTTTTTGGTCTTTCTTTTTTGCCTGATGTATCTCGTCTTATTTTTATTTTATTTTTGGAAAAAGGCGGCTTATATTGATAAATAAACATTCAGCAAGGGACAAAAGAGATAAATGGAACACTTCCAGCCACCGACCCTCGGACCAGCCTAAGAACCAATCACCCTATAACCATGTCCTTGGTCTTGTCTATGATATCCTCCATTCTCCTCCCTCAAAAACCTTATGCAAAAAACAAACAACGAACCAAAAAAATCGTCTCGAGCGACTGTGCCTTCGTACGAAAGCTTCGAAACTAAGCCTCTGGATCGATAGTCACAAAGCCAAACTCGAATCACAAAGCCGAGTATGAACTCGGAATAAAAAATCGGAAGAAAAGCGCCGCCACCTACGACGGCTTTCTACCAAACCCTAATACCTAGGGAGTCGCAAGCTTTTTTAGTATAAAAAATTAATGTGGTACTGTATCTGGTCTTATTGTTTAGTTGGATTCTATGATTTTAATATAAATAAATCATTTTCTCTCAAAAAAATATTAATCCACATGCAAATTCCCTTGTGCAAGTCAAAGTCTCCACTTCATGAATATCAAGAGACGTTTGGACTTATTCGAGTCGAGTGAACAAATTAACCCCTATTGCTTAGGGGTGGACCGGGCCTGGTCCGGTTCCGGTTCAGGCCTGGGCCCGGCCGGGCTTGGAGTTTATTTGGTAAGGCCCGGGAGTCTACCGGTACCGGGCCAGGCCGGTTTCGTTCAATATGTTTTGGATTTTATTAATTATTCCAACCCCCAACCCCACCCCCCACCCCCCAAACCCCTCGAAAACACCCAGCCCATCCCACCTAAACCCAATCCAAACTCAAAAAACAACAACAACAACAACAACAACAACAACAACAACAACAAAAACCCGGGACCAGGCCCGGGCCTGGGCCAAATACTATATAAGGCTATGTTATTCATCTAGAAAGTTTTATGATACGCAGATTATTAGAGTACACATAATTCGCCCCATATAATGCTAATGAGGGTAGAAATCAAATGAGTTAGGATGTTTTCTTTTCGCAGATTATTAGAGTACACATAATTGGCCCCATATAATGCTAATGAGGGTAGAAATCAAATGAGTTAGGATGTTTTCTTTTGGATTGAAATTTGCTGGTTTGATATGGTCTTGTTTAATCTAGCCTGGTCTGAGACTGAAAACAGTTCAAAAGAAAACATCCTTAAACACACGAATATACTCGTATATGAACTTAATTATCTAATTCCAAAGTTCTTCGCTCAAGTGTTCAACCATTCTATACTAGGAGTCCATTCTCTAACCCAAAATTATTTCGGTGTATCAGCTACTCTTTTAAATAATTTTTTCTATGTTCCATTGGAGTATTGGACTGTGTCAACATTCCCTTTGGTTGTTCTAAAAACTTTGTCACTTTCATATTAAAGTAACTAATTTGTGGTTCTGTGTATTTCTCTCCCCTCTGCACAAATTTCAATCACACAACTTTCGCTTTTCTTTATTTGTCACCTAATTCTAACTTGGAAAAGTTCACCCGCACGGAGGTAATATGCCTTTAGATTATGCGCGTTAAATTGTATAATGATCAAAATATGTAAGCATGGAGTTAGTTTTTTGCTGATTTGGATGAAGTTATTTTTCGCTATTTTCATATATTTTTTCTTAATTTTAGTAGATTCAGCCAATTCAACCAGAGATTTAACGATTTTAACATATTGAATCAATTCAGTTAATCTTTGTATTACCAAACGGAATTATAATTTTGGTGTCTAATTCTAGTTTGTTAGTACTTAACTTGTTCTAATTATAGTTTCTTAGCATTTGACACATCGATGTACCACAAAAGGAAAAGAAGCAACACTGACTAGTGTGGGTACGTTCCTGTTTTGGCAAGTGGGTGAAAGATGGGTCTATGATGAGTAAACGTTAAGCACACAGCCACAGCAATCGAATAGGTATATACGGAGTCTCAGGGATTGGTCTGCTATGATTTGAAACCACCTAACTCTTTTCTTTTCCTCCTGTCCTTCTCCACGATTGTTTCAATTATTTCTCTAAATAGTAAGTTCGAGGAAGTAGAGTACATGCTTTAATTAATTAGCAATAATGTTCTCCTCCACCCAACCAAACGCCCTTACTCACCTCTCAGCCAGCTCCGCCACCTCCCACGGCGGAGGGTATCACTGGATCCTCCTTCCTGATTTCCGGGACCACCAATTTCCATGCAATACTTTGGTCAACCCAACCACCAACAATGGAGTCAAAATTAACGACCATAGTAGTTATAGAAATGATAATGCAGGCAATACCAGCCAACTCCGCATAAAAAAGAAACCTTTTCTGCTTTCCGGCAGGCCGGAGCAGAAGGCGGCAAAGAAAAAGGACCACCGTACTAAAATAATGACTGCTCAAGGTCAAAGGGACCGGAGGGTCAGGCTCTCAATCTCCATAGCTCAAAAGTTCTTCCATCTTCAAGACACTTTGGGTTTTGACAAGCCCAGCAAAACCCTAAGTTGGTTATTCGCCAAATCGAAGCTCGCCATTCAAGAGCTAACCCACGCCGCCGCAGACAGTTCGCCGTCTTCCGCCGTGAGTGACGGGGTGTCCACGCGAAAAGCTAACAAAAGGGGAAAAGACTGTTCCATGAAAGACGTTGCTGCTAAAGAATCTAGGGCAAAAGCTAGGGCTAGGGCTAGGGCTAGAACTTTGAAGAAAATGTGTATGAAAGAAATAAGTGAGGCCAATACGTTTCTACCAGCACTTTCCCTAGTCAAATATCCCCTTAACATTGATGACGTGGCAGCTAAAGTGTGGGATATTCCGCAGCATCTTAGGATGCCCGGAGATCTGAGTTCTGCGGACGACGACAATGTCTACTCCGGGAGTAACTAGCTGGTAATGGTGGGTCGTGGGAGTTAGAACATTGCTGTGCTGGTACCACAAAGATTGTGTGACTTTTCTATCATGGTAGACCAATTATTCCTTATCAAATTTAGGAGTATTTATGTCTCCTATTTTAATTTGACGCAATTATTAATAAATTAATTGAATAACTAAAATTTATGGTTGAATTTTTTTTTCTCCTCCGGAAGGTAAACCACCAAAATCATTTGGGTAAATGACGGAGTACATTTACCATATTATTATTAAGAAAGAGAGTAACAACAAAGAGAGGGGGACTAGACCAAAGACCTCTCCGAGGAAATTACATCTGAAAGAAAATAAATCAAAGAATAAAAAAGCCAACTCCAAAAGAATAACAACTAATGCGAAAATCTGAGAGAAGGCAACCCGAAAAGATCCATGTAGTAGGCACATTTTGCTTGGGCCGGAAGATGGCAGACCCGAGACTATGAAATCTTTGGGCCCGTATGCTGAAAAGTCAGAAAATGGGCAACCCAATTCATTTCACGCCACACATGCGAAAAGGAAAGTCTTCTTCCTTCAGACAAAACCAACAATTTAGCAACCTCATCGCTCCATCTGCCAGATCCTCCGTCCATAATATATTTCAAAGCCACCGCAGAATTCATTCCGACTTTTATATCCGAGAACCCTTCGTTGAGAGCCCAAGTCGTTGCCATAACCACCGCCCTAATTTCGGCTTCCAAAGGAGAGGAAGTTGCTACCGGGATTATACCAGGTAGGCAAAGCTTAAAGATATCTTCCAATTTTTTAACATCAGCTTTAAGCCACCAAGTGATGAAAATGCTTCTGATTGAACAAGATTGATAAAGAGTTGGAATGCTAAAAATTCCCATAAAGTACTCCCAAATTGGTTTAATCTTCACACAGGTTAGAAAAATATGGTCTACAGATTCTGGCTGAGCTCTACAAAATGGGCAAATTGTTGGGTTGAGAACAACTTGAAACCTGCCTAAATTGTCAAGAATAGGAAGTATTCCTTTCAATAATCTCCACTGAAAAATTTTGACCGTTAGCGGCAGACTAGACTGCCAAATCTGAGTACAAGAGAAAGATGTAGGCTGCTCATCTCTTATGGATTCAAAAGCTGATTTGAAGGAAAACTTTCCATCGATCCAATTTAGGCTCCCAAAAAATAGAGCCATCAGGATTAGTCCCACATATTGAGTTTGCAAAGTCATCAATAGAGCATATTCTCCTCCACATTGGAGAATTAGTAACCTTTGGAATTTGAATATAATAAAATAATATGTTAAAGATCGATCACATACTTCTTTCCACAAAAAGAGATGTGACACTTACATTGGGATAATAACTCAAAAAGGGAAGTTTGACAAATAAAATGAGATGGATGAAGTATTATTTTATTTTTGCTTCTCAATAATTGTACTACCTGCTAATGTCCCACACCTAATTAAGGAGAAAGTCACAGTTTTTAATTGCGGGCCGCAAGGCCGGATGCAGCCGCAATATTGCAGTTGCGCGCGGTTCAGCAACCGCATCGGGTCACAATGGGAGTGAGAATGCACGGCAAAAATCTGAAACATAACCACAACGAGGTCGCATCCGGATCACAACACTAATTTTATTTTATTCCTATTTCATTCGAACAAAAAATTGATTAATTCACACTACATCACTACAAGAAAAATGCCTTACAGTGACACCAAATTAGTGTCACTGAAAGTTTCTGTGACACTAAAAAAGTGTCAATGAAAGTGGGGAATAGTGACACTTTATTATTAGTGTCACTAAGTGTCACGCCCCGGACCTCCCCGGACACGTCGACAATCCGCCATACAATACGAATAGTCAACCGCAGTCCAACACATTCATATTATACAAGGCGTCTTGAATATCATTCACACGTATACATCCATAAACAAACATAATAAGTAATTCATAACGCAGCGGAAAACATTGTTTAAAACAAGAAGGCCACACAAGGCATTTCATGAGCACGCAGGCTCTATAGTAAAATATCCATGAGCAAATTTGTTAATGTTTCAAATGGAATGGAGGAAGCACGAACCAAGTCTTCTCTCCTAGGAATCACTCGATCAACGAGCACAGGATGCAAGCTCTAGCCTCAACCTGAAATGGTGGTGGGACGCCCCCAAAGGGGTCAGTACTCTATACGGCTATAAAGTACTGGTGTGGCAGGCATCTAGTAGATATACAACAAGTATTTCACACACAAGACCCTCAAATAGGGTGATAATATAGTTTAGGCTGTAATCCCAAATTACCCCTTCAAAATAAATACTTACTTTATATAAAGTCAAGTAGTCGGCTCAAAGGCCCATGTTTATCACAAAACATTTCCCAAACCCCGTGACTAATGGTCACGACATACATAGGGTCCAACCCTAATATAACTTCTCATTTCTAGAGTTCGGCTCGAGTACATCATCATGCACTCGCATCATAGATCTCCTACTTCATGTAATCATATCATAGATCTCCTACTTCGTGTATTCATCCCATAGATCTCCTACTTCATACAATCACACCATAGATCTCCTACTTCATACAATCACACCATAGATCTCCTACTTCATACAATCACACCATAGATCTCCTACTTCATACAATCACACCATAGATCTCTTACTCTATGAAATCACATTTGACACTTGAATCTCATTCAAGTTCATCACAAACAAACTCAAACCTTAAGTTTGATTCTAACACATTTAGGACAATCCTTAACTAGCATCACAATACTATTAAGATTATTCCTACAACTCATTTATCATTAATGGTAGCCCCTCCATATCAATAGATATGTGGCAGCCTCCCATGTGTAAAGCATCATCATGCAATTATACATTTACATACACATAACATTCATACATGAGTTAGAAATGTCTATTTAACATTATAGCACATTTATACCTCATTTACCCCACAATCATCGGTATGGTTTCAATTCATGATCAAGTCCATTACTTATCATTCATATCATGTTCAATCATCTTTATTTATGAAAACATGATTTAAGCATTTAGGTAATCTCATGCATAACCTACAAGTTGTAAGCAACTAGATGTCGTCCTCACCTTAAAGAGCTTTAGACTTCCTTTCACGCTCCAACGACCAAGTTGCGAGCTAACTCCTTGCGAAAAAAAAAATGAGTGGGCAGCAGCCTTCTCTCAGCAGCTGGCTCAGCAGCCTGCTTGACGTGCACTTTGTCGTGGTGTGCACTCAAAATAATAAATACAATACAACACTAATACGTAGTATAGTGAAGTAAGGTTCGTATCCACAGGGAAAGGAATACTTTTCTTTTTATAGAACCAGTGACAAAATGGGGGGTTTTAGTTTGATTTGGTTTAATAAATTAAACACGAAGATGAACGAGTTATGTGGTTTAATTAATGAGAAGAAGACTTGGTTTTGCTTTTATCCACTTAATGAAATGTTCGTCGATCCCGGTTATATCTTTAACTATCTTCCTCTCGAATACTCAATCGAGGAGTATATCCAGTTCATCGAGGGTAGTTATTAATAACGAGACGCGTTCATTAATAAAACTTACTACCGAGTCAATATAGAACAAGCGCCGTATATTAACTTGATAGTAGCAATAAAATCAAGATGAAAACGATTGAGATTGATAACCTCAACACAAGCGGTTTATTGGTTTAATCAATATAATTAATTCCCCTTGGCTTATTAATCATGAGAAGCATGCATTAACAACCCAAGTTTACTACCATTGAAAGAACCGAATTAATAACAAGCGTATTAACCGATTGATTCTAGTAATAATTAATATATGAAACAAAACTAGTTGATCCTTTAAGTAATGTTCAAAATATTAATATGAAATATGAATAGGAATTAATTAATACTCAAGGAAGAATATTAAAGAAGATGAATCCTACTATAGTTAATATCAAGATGTTAACTAATTGTCATCTTAGTAACACTCCCCAATATTAACATAGAGGAAGAAATAGCTATTACTATAATTAATGTCAAGATGTTAACTAATTGTCATCTTAGTAACACTCCCCAACATTGATATAGAAATAGTATTTAAAGGAAGAATTAATATTCAAGGAAGAAGATTAAAGAGAATAACTCACAACTTACAAATTCATTAAGCTTCAAAGTAGCAAAACCAAGATGGAAGAGTTTAGCTCCTCATTTGGAGACTAAACATGCTATAAAAATATAAAAGAAATACTATTCTAAACTGAGCTTAAGAGTATGGAAGAAGGGATTCTTTTTAGTGAAGGAAAAGTGTGCTATTTATAGGTGTTTTTCAACACCTTTGGTCGAGTACCCGACCGGGTAGAGTATCTACCCGACCGGGTACCGGTCCGAATCAAATATTTTCCACGTTCTAGTGTTCTTCAGCACGTCGGGTTGTCTTCGGTCAAGTCTCACCCGACCGGGTGAGGTATAGGGCCCGACCGGGCCAAGCAATTTCCTGGAGACTACAAATGTTAATTCAAACCCGACCGGGTGAAGGTTTCTACCCGGTCGGGTTTATACTTCTGGGCAGCATTCTCCTTGTTTTTCTTCCTTTTCCTTGCCAACAATTCTACCAAAACTTCCTAACCCACAAATAAAAGCTAAAAACACTTACAAATAAAAAGTGAACAAATGTTTACAACTACACACAAATGGTAAACAATGCACACAAAACAAGATATAAAAATACACATTTATGCACTACTAACTAGTGCATATCAAATACCCCCACACTTGAACTTTTACTCGTCTCGAGTAAAATAAATTATGTCCATGAAGTCTTCAAAACAACAGTATCAAAACAACCACCATAAAGTGTATCTAGAAGCAGAATGATTACAAAAAATATCCCCAACATCAAGAGGTCTTCGAAATTGGTTTTCTCACCAACGAACTCCCTTTCATCATCACCCTTAGGATCCTGCAAAGTCAAAAGAAATAATTTCTCTCATTCTCTCATTTTTGCCTAGGTGCCCTTTCGGGTTTTCATCCCAGCTTCCCACATTTTTCTGTTTTAATCCTCACAAACTCACTCTTATTTTGCTTATTTTTGCTTAAGTTGCCCTTTGTGGGTTTTCAACTTAACAAGCTCTTTTTTTTTTTTTTTTTTTTTAATAAAAAGAAAATAAAGAGTGTGAATGTAAGCTTACCAGAATAGTCTCCCCCCAGCTGAGTCATTGCACTGTCCCTAGTGCCCGCCCATACCGCCACCATGGTGTCTGTCCTCATCCATGTGATCACCGCCATAACCACCATCATCGCCTCCACCACCGGAACTCGAGCCTCCAAAATAACCCCATGCAGTGGGATCATACCAAGAGGGTGCGGGAGGGGGAGTGGTCATAGATGCAAATCCACCCTGATGCGCCATATAGGAATAAATAGGACCATAGGTCCTCCGTAGGTCCTCCTCATCTCTCCGGCGGTCTTCCTCATATCTACGCCAGTCTGCCTGCCGCTGCTCCTCCATCCTCTCAAAGCTCTGCCTGTGCTCCGTACGATATAATCCAACTTCATTCCGAAGTTGGGTGTAGTTGTTGTTGAGCATGGCCATGTTATCGAGCATTTGTTGCTCGAAAGGTGTGTAGTGAAAAGCTTGAGGTTGTGGTTGTTCAGGCATTAGTGGGGGTTGTTCGGGTATGATTGGTGGTTCTTCATCATCTTCATTTTGGATTGGTTCTTCATAATGATCCGGGATTGCCCCGGGAAGACAATAGTGATGACCATCCCCGATTTGGTGATCGATGATATCCAGGGGGACATCGGCCGAGGGTATTTGGAGGTAGATGGAGGTGCGTGGGAGGATGCGCCAATTATAGACTTGTGCCCCGGTTGGTGTTTTGTGAGAGGATACCAAGTCTAGGGTCTTTGTTACAAGCCATTCAGTGCAAATAAGTTGTCTTGAGGTGATGGGGCCGTGGTCTACAAAACCATATAAAGTGGCTATATGTGTGATGAGGCCCCCCATCACAATTGGTCCTGTTGATGTTGCCACGTTGTAGAAATGGGTCCATAAGATGGTGGCAACATCAACTTGATCCGGGCCAGGCAAAACAGCTTGTGCTAGAACGCACACATCCCAAATCCGTGTGTGATGATTATTTGGTCTTCCGAGAAAACAATTGGAGCAGAATTTTAAGAATAGTCGGAAGACCGGATGTTGCACACGGTTCACGCTCAGCTTAGAAAGATCAACCACAGGTTTTCCTGTCATTCTCTTCCACAACTCATATCCCACAAGAGAATCATATGTACGTGCTTCATCAAATAATGGGAGGCCAAAGTGTTGAGCAAATTCCCTTTTGGTTAATGAACGATTTTCATTTAGTAAACGAAAGGTGATGATGTCATTTGCATGATCATCCACATCTTTCGTATACGCAAACGAGCTAAAAAATTCATACACCAAATGAGGATATGTAACATATTGCATTCCAAATATTCTAGTCATTCCAATTCTCGCAAATATGTCACGCATCACAACATCAATCCACAGTAATGCTAGAGTAGTTAAGCACATGAAACGGGATTGTTTTACCTCCCTCTTTGTTTGGTTGATGAAGCTTTCCCTTTGACCCTCCGTAGCCAAATCCACATTCTCGTAGCCCGGCACCGGTGGTATAGCTCGGTTACCCCTTGAGGAAGAGCCTTTTGATTTTCTTGGAGCCATTGAATTTGATTTTTTTTGGTTTTTTCTTGAAGGATTTTCGGACTTTTGGCTAGGGTGTGTTTTGGAGAGTTTTTATGGGTATGGTTTGGAAGAGAATGGTGAGGAGAACAAGGATATGATATTGGTTGGGGATTTTGGGTTTGATTTTGGACCTTGAATGCCCAAAAATGGGGATTTTCGGATTTGGGGTAGGGTTTTGTGGGTTTGGTGTAATTGGTGGATTTGAGATGGATTTATGGGTATAGAGTGGAAGAGGGTGAATGGGAGATGAAGAAAATGATTTTATTTGATTGATTTGGTGGAGAAATGGGGGTAGATTCGAAGCTTTTGGAGTGTAAAAATGGGGGATTTTGGGGGTTGGTTCGTAGGAAGAAGAAGAAGATTGGGAGAGGAAGAGGGTAGCCCGACCTGGTATAGGGGTGTTTTCCCGTTCACCCGGTCGGGTGGGTTAATAGACCCGGTCGGGCCTTTCGATCCCGCCTATCCAGTAGCTACTGGAATGAATACCCGGCCGGGTGAAATAAAGTACCCGGTCGGGTATTAGTTAATTTTGACTATTTTATTTTATTTTTTTGTCCGGCCGGGTATGTGGTTTGACCCGGTCGGATTTGCAAAGCAGTGGTCTGGTACCAAATAATTTAGTTACCCGGCCGGGTTTGTTGGAGTTGCCCGGTCGGGTAAAAAAAAAAATTTCGAAATAATTGTGACTTGCTTCGGTCGGGTGGAGGTCTGGTGAAAATATTTTTCTGCTAGATCCGACCGGGTTCAAAAAGTTACCCGGCCGGGTCTGGCCTTAATTTTTTTTTTTTTTTTTTTTTTTTTTTTTTTTTTAAAAGGTTTTCTCGCACACAAAAATAAATGAAAATGCTCAAAATACAAACTTGGGTTGCCTCCCAAGAAGCGCTTGATTTAACGTCGCGGCACGACGTTATTTTTATTTTATTTTCTATTTTAAGTGGGATCGTGAACAATCTTGTTTGGCCTCGTACTCATTTTGTTTTTCGACCTTTTCCAGTAAGGTCGAATTTTTGTTTTTATTGCCTCCTCAACCGCAGATGATCCCCTATTCTTATTTTTTTGAAAAATTGGGATTTTATTAGATTCCTTCAAGGACTTTGGTTCTTGTGGTCCAAAAACAGTTAAAGAACAAAGAGATTGGGCTTTAATTTGTTTTTTCGTAGAGTCAAAGATGTTGAACTCTATTTTTTGGTCATCGAACTCTAAAGTTAATGAACCACTAGACACGTCAATTTTTGTTTTTGCGGTCTTTAAGAAGGGTCTACCCAAAAGGATGGGTGTTGTTTGGTCATCATTTCCCATTTCAAGGACATAGAAGTCAACAGGAAAAACCATATTTTCTACTTCTACTAGCACATCTTCTATTATACCCTTCGGGTAAGTATTAGAATGATCCGCTAGTTGAATCACTACACCTGTTTGATGTAGTGGGCCGAGTTGTAGGGATTTATAAACAGAGTAAGGAATGACATTTATAGATGCCCCTAAATCCAACAAGGCCTTAGAAAATGCGGTGTCCCCTATCTTGCAAGGTATGGTGAACATGCCCGGGTCGCTACATTTTTCGGGAAGTTTCTTTTGAAATAGAGCCGATACATGTTCACTAACCTTGACCTCTTGCTTTTCTTTTGACTTATCCTTTCGTTTTGTTTTGCATAATTCTTTTAAAAATTTAGCAAAACGGGGAACATTTTTAATTGAGTTAAGGAGCGGAATGTTTACCTCACACTTGGCGAATGTCTCATAGATGTCAGTATCTTTCTCCAGCTTCCTTGTCTCCATCAGTGCCTCGGGAAATGGGGCTACTGGTTCATACGATGCATATGGTGGAAGTTTCGCCTTTGTGGTTCCCTCCTCAGATTGAGCTTCTTCTTCATGATCAACCTCCTTGATCTCTTGGTCATTTTTTTCTACCCCCTTCAACATGATTGCATTCACATGTTGTCTCGGGTTTTGCTCCGTTTGAGATGGGAGTTTACCCGAGTCCTTTGCTTCAAGACGGCTTACGGCATTTGAAATTTGGCTAACTTGGGTTTCCAAATTTTTAATGCTTGACTTCGTTTCATGTTGGAATTGTATCATGGTTTGTTGAAATTGACCCATGCTTTGTTGCATGGTAACCATGTTTGAAGTCAAAGCTCGTATCATTTCATCCGTTGACATATTAGATTGAGAGTTTGAACCTTGATTGTCAAAAGATGGTTGAGAAGATGGTTTGGATTGTTGGGAGTTTCCATACCTCAAGTTTGGATGATCTCTTAATCCAGGGTTGTAAGAGTTTGAGAATGGATCGTACCTCCTTTGTTGGTGGCCTTGGAAACCCAAGGCATTGACTTGCTCTGTATCGTTTTCTTGAAGAGTCGGGCATGAGTCAGTGGGATGCCCTTGTTGCGTACAAATGCCGCAGACCTTGACTTCTTGGGTCTTGGATTTTAAGAGGAAATCCTTAACCAAGGAAGTCAAGCCGGCAACTTGACTCTCCAGTGATGATGTCGATTCTGCCGCGGCAACTCTACGAGTTGAGGATCTGCGACCGAATTGCCGTGAGTTCTCGGCCAATTCCGAGATAAGATTTATAGCTTGTGAAGGAGTTTTATTAACAATGCCGCCTCCACAAGCGGCGTTCACCATTCTTCTATCATCATCAACAAGACCATCATAAAAGTATAAGATGAGGTCTTGTTCTGAGTAGCCATGATAGGGACAGCTAGCACATAGCTTCTTAAATCTTTCCCAAAATTCATATAAGGATTCATCATCCTTTTGCTCGATGTTGCTTATTTGCTTTTTGAGAGAAGATGAGATGGAAGCAGGATAATACCTATCGAGGAAGCACTTCTTCATTTGTGCCCATGTGTTGATGCTTCCCGAAGGAAGATAGAAAAGCCAATCCTTCGCAGTATCTTTCAATGAGAATGGGAAGGCTCTCAGTTTTATTTGCTCTTCTGTGGCACCGTTTGGGCACATGCTTGTGCAAACGATGTGGAACTCCGAAAGATGTTTATTCGGATCTTCTCCTCTCATGCCATGGAAAGATGGCAATAAATGTATGAGCCCAGATTTCAGCTCAAATGTATTACCTTCATCAAGAGTAGGAAAGGTAATACATAATGGTTGTTGATTCAAGTTTGGAGCTGTGAGCTCCCTCAAGGTCCTTGTCTCGAGAGCCATGTGGAATGACTCTTCGGATTCGCTAGAGCTAGAGCTAGCGTTTGAGGATTCCTCCGAGGGTGTGTGCGGAAATAAATTTCTCAACCTCTCGAAGGCTTGTTCTATTTCGGGGTTTGTTTGGTAAGTAAGTTCGTTTATAGAACGGGTTTTTACCATATACTCATGTAAACTCAGAAATAGAAAAAGTAAGAGCGCTTTATATTTTATTTATTTATATTTTTTTTCGATTTTTCTTAATTTAAAATAAAAAGAAAAATTATTGCCTTTCCCCGGCAACGGCGCCAAATTTGACGTGCACTTTGTCGTGGTGTGCACTCAAAATAATAAATACAATACAACACTAATACGTAGTATAGTGAAGTAAGGTTCGTATCCACAGGGAAAGGAATACTTTTCTTTTTATAGAACCAGTGACAAAATGGGGGGTTTTAGTTTGATTTGGTTTAATAAATTAAACACGAAGATGAACGAGTTATGTGGTTTAATTAATGAGAAGAAGACTTGGTTTTGCTTTTATCCACTTAATGAAATGTTCGTCGATCCCGGTTATATCTTTAACTATCTTCCTCTCGAATACTCAATCGAGGAGTATATCCAGTTCATCGAGGGTAGTTATTAATAACGAGACGCGTTCATTAATAAAACTTACTACCGAGTCAATATAGAACAAGCGCCGTATATTAACTTGATAGTAGCAATAAAATCAAGATGAAAACGATTGAGATTGATAACCTCAACACAAGCGGTTTATTGGTTTAATCAATATAATTAATTCCCCTTGGCTTATTAATCATGAGAAGCATGCATTAACAACCCAAGTTTACTACCATTGAAAGAACCGAATTAATAACAAGCGTATTAACCGATTGATTCTAGTAATAATTAATATATGAAACAAAACTAGTTGATCCTTTAAGTAATGTTCAAAATATTAATATGAAATATGAATAGGAATTAATTAATACTCAAGGAAGAATATTAAAGAAGATGAATCCTACTATAGTTAATATCAAGATGTTAACTAATTGTCATCTTAGTAACACTCCCCAATATTAACATAGAGGAAGAAATAGCTATTACTATAATTAATGTCAAGATGTTAACTAATTGTCATCTTAGTAACACTCCCCAACATTGATATAGAAATAGTATTTAAAGGAAGAATTAATATTCAAGGAAGAAGATTAAAGAGAATAACTCACAACTTACAAATTCATTAAGCTTCAAAGTAGCAAAACCAAGATGGAAGAGTTTAGCTCCTCATTTGGAGACTAAACATGCTATAAAAATATAAAAGAAATACTATTCTAAACTGAGCTTAAGAGTATGGAAGAAGGGATTCTTTTTAGTGAAGGAAAAGTGTGCTATTTATAGGTGTTTTTCAACACCTTTGGTCGAGTACCCGACCGGGTAGAGTATCTACCCGACCGGGTACCGGTCCGAATCAAATATTTTCCACGTTCTAGTGTTCTTCAGCACGTCGGGTTGTCTTCGGTCAAGTCTCACCCGACCGGGTGAGGTATAGGGCCCGACCGGGCCAAGCAATTTCCTGGAGACTACAAATGTTAATTCAAACCCGACCGGGTGAAGGTTTCTACCCGGTCGGGTTTATACTTCTGGGCAGCATTCTCCTTGTTTTTCTTCCTTTTCCTTGCCAACAATTCTACCAAAACTTCCTAACCCACAAATAAAAGCTAAAAACACTTACAAATAAAAAGTGAACAAATGTTTACAACTACACACAAATGGTAAACAATGCACACAAAACAAGATATAAAAATACACATTTATGCACTACTAACTAGTGCATATCACTGCTCTCAGCAGGTGGCTCCACCCTCCTGCCACGAAACTAAACAGTCCTCTTGAAGAGGTGTTCCCCGGCAAGTTCACCTCCTAACCGTTCAAGGTTCATTTAAGGTTAGTGCCTAACCTTTAAACTCACATGTCTAACATTCATGAATACATTCTACCCTAAGAACAAAGTGGAATAGCCTCCTAAACCTTACATATGATCTATGTAAAGAAGAGGAAGTTTTCGGGTTCAACTCACCTCTAGAGAAGAAGAAACCCTGCTGCAGGGTCGTACTTTCCAACGCAGATTTGGAAGCCTTCCTCAACTCCGATCGTCGCGATCTACACCATTCCAGAATCCTTGTTTTAAGATCTTTCTCTGGACACCTCACACGCCTGATTTGAACGAGTGAAGCTCAAGATATGGGCTGAACAATCAACCCCTACGCACAGTGACGAAAACTGCGAACTGCTCTCTCCTTTCTCTCTTTCTTTGTTCTGATCGGTTCTCTTCTCTTAGAAGCCAAGTAAATTCGAATGGGGGGTACTAAGGGTGCCCCTTAGGCCTCCCAAAAGGTTATTCCCCTTGTGTGGAGTGGAAAGAATGGGATGTGGGTTATTCTCCACCAAGTGTCACAATCAAGTACAAATGGGGTCCAATCCTTATCATTTTATTCTCTACACAAACCCACCCCATCATGGTCCGCCCCAAAAGTCAAAATACCATATTCTCATTGTCTTGTAAGTGCCAAGGAGGTGTGGTACGCACCCCCTTCGGTCCAAGTCAGCCCGGAAGGAAAATCCTTACCGATAATTCCTTACGGAGTAAAATTGAGTCTTATTATTTGTGTCTTCGTAATGCGATTTCTCTCCATATAATATCGGGCATTTATACTAACCAAGATGGTCCACATCGGTATTTGGAAACTCACTCACGAAACACGGATCCCAACGATAGGTTAACGAACACAAGTTACATCAAACACTACTCGTTTCACACAATGTCAAAGCATGAGTTACATAAGATAACACACGTGTTACACACGGCTGGTAATAACAAGTTCAAAACATCAATTACGAAACTTTCGAATAGTAAATTCGGGTACACACGGGTGCGGTGTGACACTCCAAAAATTTAAATAAAATAAAATAGTTAAGATATTAATTAGAATTTTTTTTCTTAAATGATAAAGTGACATTTAACAAATATTAATCAATTAAAAATGTGTGCCATCTTTATACACTAAAAGAAACCAATAATACACTCTAATAATAATACATTGACTTTTCAATGTAATTTAAGATAGTATATTTACGTATGATAGATAGTTCACACATGATACTTGTACGTAAATAAATAAATAACAAGAAAAGCCATACATAGAGAAGTTATGGGGCCAATCCAGAACCTTCGAATTAGCATTACGCACACAAACCATTGACATATTACACCCATGCGTATAACCAAACAAGGAAACTGAAATAATGTCAGTAATTGCCAAAGATTTGTAACGTATAGTCTAGAACTCTCAACGATGAGTATAAATACAAGCCTTACTAACGATCTATGTTGCGCCAAAACAAACGACGATCTACGTACGTCGCTAACAAAATGTGAGAAAGAGAAGGCCTGTAAGAGCCGTTTCCAGTAGACAGGCCGCCGGAGGTCAGCCTGCAGTGCCACCGGGAGAGAACGAGTGACGCCGGAGGGAGATGGATTCCAACCGGAGCCATTGCCACTGCACAACGCATCGCCGTGTGCATCGCCGCACCAGAGTGTCGCCGGACGGTTTCTTTTTTCACCGGAGGTGCCTATTACTGCGGAGTTCTTGCAACGAGGAAGAGAAGAAGCCGCCGCAGATCGGTCTCCTGACGCCGGACAGATTGTTTCTTACGGAAAGGTCACCTGGAGCTGTGCCGTCACTACCGGAATAGATCATCACCGCTGAAGGCTGAAGCGCGTCGCCGGTACTGCGAGGATGACGAAGAGGACAGATACAGTAACTGTGAATATTTAGAGACCGGAATTGAAGAAGAGAATTAGGAGCATCGGGACTTAAGGTAAGTTTCACGTCAACCGAAATTAGTTCTTTTTACTTCGTGATTTCTTTGAATATTTTTGTGTGCATATTTGAGAATTGAATTTATGTGTGCTGAATTTGATTAAATATTATGATATGAAAGGGTTGTATTTGGGATATTAGTTGATATATTGGTTTGTTAATAATTTAATATGAGTTATTGTATACAATTTTGGAAGACTTTGTAATAGTACGTAATTTGTTATCTTTGTGGGAGTTTGATAAAAAGGAAAATTTTGAAGTATAAACTTCGATTGATTTTGAGAAAGCAAAGAAAAATAAATATTTTCATAAAGAGTGGACATCACGGGAGAAATCCGTGGTGTCGGTTTTCCACATCCCTTAAAATGTGGAGGGTGGTTAGGTCTACTACTACTCAATTCTTGCTGGTATTGGTTTGAGGTGAATTGATGGTCGGTAGAAAACATCCCGGCTTTTGAGTAGTAGTGGTATTAGTAGCTCCTAATCATTCAGTTTTTGAGGTGGGGTAGTTGGTAGAAAACATCCTGACTACCCGGATCAACTTACTAACTCGGAGGGCTTGGAATACCTTTAGGGGGTGTGCACACTTAAGGTAGTTGTTTCCGTTTCCGTTGAGCAGTTGTGGTACCGGCAATAGTCCCGGGGTGGCTGTACATAACAACGGACCACCGGGCTCAACCAAAGTATTGAGCACCGCCCTTCTAAAGTACTAGGGAGTTAGTTACAAAGTGATTTCTGGGAAAAATTCAAAAGAGGAGAATCTTGGTGTTTCATGTATTTTGGAATTATTATATTTGCAAATTGTGCGGTTGGGATTTTGTATAGATATCATTTACTTATAATTTATAAAGTGTTTTGAGAAATATTTTATGGGGTTGTGCGAATTTATATATATATATATTATTTATTATTATTTTAAAAGGTTAGGTGGAACTTACTTAGCATTATTGCTAATGTTTGTTTTCTTTTTATTTTCTTTTGCTCGTTTCTAACAGGAGGTGATCATGTTGATTTTGATGCTGGAATGTTTGAGGGCACGAATTAGAAGACCTTATCGTAGTTCACTAGAATAAACTTTAATATTTGCTTATGATTCGAACATCTTGATTTTTATCTAAACTCATGTTTTGGTAGATAGCCTTAACATCCAACCATTCACGGATTGGATGTGGCGGTGACATACCCCTTTTCCTTTATTTTACCTATTTCCGCTGCAAACATTTGAATGTTTAAATAATAAATAAAAGTTCATTTCTGTTTCAAAGTATCATTTTGGGTGGGAAATTTGGGGGTGTCACATGCGGTGTCACAAGTTCACCCCCCTTAACAGGAATTTCGTCCCCGAAATTCACAACGCTACTCGAATAGGAATGCATACTGCTTCCTCATCAAAGCCTCCGTTTCCCAAGTCTCTTCTTCGACCCGGTCACTCTTCCAAAGGACTTTAACCATTGGAACATCTTTACTCCTCAGTTTCTTCACTTTTCTGTCAATAACTCTTACCGGTTGCACGGCATAGTTCAAATCTTCACGTACCTCCACGGGCGGCTTCTCCAACACATGAGAAGGATCATGCACATACTTCTTAAGCATGGATACGTGAAACACATCATGAATCTTCTCCAACTCGGGAGTCAACTGTAGACGATACGCCACGGCCCCAATTCTCTCTAGAATTCTGAATGGCCCTATGTAGCGTGGGTTAAGCTTCCCTCGGCTCTGGAACCGGATGATCCCTTTCCAAGGAGAAACTTTAAGAAACACCTCGTCATCAACCTTAAACTCTAAGGTTCTCCGACGTCTATCGGCGTAGCTCTTCTGTCTGTCTTGTGCCGTTTTAAGCCTCTCTCGAATCAACTTCACCTTTGACTTGGTGATCTCCACCAATTCAGTACCCTCGAGTTTGGCCATGCCAACCTCATCCCAACATAACGATGTACGACATCTCTTGCCATACAATGCCTCGTATGGAGGCATGCCGATACTCGCCTGATAACTGTTGTTATAGGCAAACTCCACAAGCGCTAAGTGGTTGTCCCAACTGCCTTGGAACTCCAATGCACAAGCCCTCAGCATATCCTCTAAGATCTGAATAACTCTTTCAGACTGCCCATCTGTCTGCGGATGGAAAGCAGTACTGAACTTCAACCTCGTTCCCATAGACTCTTGGAATTTTGGCCAAAAGCGCGATGTGAATCGTGGGTCTCTATCGGACACAATAGTCACTGGAACCCCATGAAGCCTCACGATCTCATCCGTATACAACTTGGCTAACCTCTCAAGTGGATAAGTGGTGTTGATAGGCAAGAAGTGTGCACTCTTCGTGAGCCTATCAACCACTACCCAAACTGCGTCGTAGTTCCGAACCGTCCGTGGTAAGCCTACCACGAAGTCCATAGTCACATGCTCCCACTTCCACTCAGGAATGGAAAGTGGCTGTAACAAGCCCGCTGGATGCTGATGTTCTGCTTTGACCTGCTGACAAGTAAGGCATCGACTGATGTACTCGGCTATCTCCCTCTTCATACCTGACCACCAGTAGCTCTCCTTCAAATCCCGGTACATCTTCGTGCCTCCCGGGTGCATAGCATACGCCGATGAATGAGCCTCCTCAAGGATGGACTTTCGGAGCTCATCATTCGATGGTACGCACACTCGGTCACGAAATAACAAGAGACCATCGTCCCTCTCACGGAAATCCTCCACCGGTCCCGCTAGCATGCGTTCTCGGACCTTCTTTAGCTCATCATCAAGGTTCTGCCCCTTCTTGATCTCATCAAGTAAGGTAGGCCTCACCTCAAACCTCGCCACCAAGGCGCCATCAGTAGACACTTCCAATCGAGCCCTCAATGCTCTCAAGTTGGCAAGCAATGCCCCAGACGAACTCTTCCGACTAAGGGCGTCGGCCACAACATTCGCCTTGCCCGGGTGATACTCAATCACAAGATGGTAGTCCTTTATCAACTCCATCCATCGTCGTTGCCTCATGTTTAGCTCCTTCTGGGTAAACACATACTTCAAACTTTTGTGGTCCGTGTATATATGACACGTCTCTCCGTAGAGATAGTGTCGCCATATTTTAAGTGCAAACACCACGGCCCCCAACTCTAAGTCATGAGTAGGATAATTCACCTCGTGTTTCTTCAACTGTCGTGAAGCATAGGCAATCACCCTCCCCGACTGCATCAACACGCAACCGAGCCCCTGGATGCTCGCGTCACTATAGACATCGTATCCCATACCTTGCTTTGGTAGTGCAAGTACCGGTGCCTCGGTCAACCTCTTCTTCAATTCAAGGAAACCTTTCTCACATCGGTCATCCCATACAAACTTAGCCCCTTTTCGAGTGAGCTTCGTCAATGGCGATGCCAAAACAGAGAACTTTTCCACAAACTTTCTATAGTAGCCCGCGAGCCCAAGGAAACTGCGGACCTCCTTCACGTTCTTTGGCCTTTCCCAATCTGTGATAGCCTCAATCTTCTTGTTGTCCACGGCAATGCTTGACGCGGAAACCACATGCCCGAGAAAGCCAATCTCCTTAAGCCAAAACTCACACTTGGAGAACTTAGCGTAGAGTTGCTTCTCTCGTAGTGTTTCAAGAACCAGAACCAAGTGCCGCTCATGCTCTTCTTCACTCCTTGAGTAAATCAAGATATCGTCTATGAACACGATCACGAACTGATCCAAGTATTTATGAAATACTCGGTTCATCAAGTCCATGAATGCCGCCGGCGCGTTTGTCAGCCCAAACGACATAACCAAGAACTCAAAGTGACCATACCTTGTGCGAAAAGCACTCTTCGGTATATCACTCTCCTTGATCTTCAGTTGGTGGTACCCCGACCTTAGATCGATCTTCGAGAATACTGTTGCCCCTCGAAGTTGGTCGAACAAGTCATCAATCCTAGGTAGAGGATACTTATTCTTGATTGTGGCCTTGTTCAACTGCCGGTAATCAATACACATCCGGAGGGTCCCATCCTTCTTCTTCACAAAGAGGACTGGTGCTCCCCACGGTGAACAACTTGGTCTAATGAAACCGGTATCCAATAGCTCTTGCAGTTGGGTTTTTAACTCATCAAGTTCGGCTGGTGCCATTCGGTATGGTGGTATAGAGATTGGTTTGGTGCCGGGCTCAACCTCGATCACAAACTCAATCTCCCTATCAGGTGGAAGCCCCGGTAGGTCATCAGGGAAGACATCTGGGTACTTACAAACCACCCTCACGTCGTTGATATTCGTCTCATCTTTGGTCTTGTCAATCACATATGCAAGATACGCATGACATCCCTTCCTCATCATCCTCCTTGCCCTCACGGCGGATATGATACAACTGTTTGATCTACCTCGATCACCCTCGAAGCGTAGGGTCTCCCCATCATTGCCTTCGAGTTCAAGAAGCTTCGTGTAGCAATCTACCCTAGCATGGTTCCTTTCTAGCCAATCCATCCCTAGGATCGCATCGAATTCAATCATGCTCAGCGGTACAAAGTCACACGTCAAGGTTTGACCATTAACTTCCACCTCACAAGATGGATAGTAACAAGTCCTTTCCACGTCATCCCCTAGTGGTGTTGATACCACTAAGGTTTGCATCAACGGTGCGGATTGCACCTCCAAATTCTTGGCGAACGCTTCACTCACAAATGAACGTTGCGCTCCGGTATCGATAAGGATTCGCGCATCCTTCCCATTAATCTTTAGTGTTCCTACATTCATAAACCAAGTAAGACATCATTCCTACCCCCCCTACTCATTTATAGAGGGTTATAATGTTCACACACATGTTAGGGATCAAGAAAAGGTCTTAACGTCGCAAAACGGTGCGAAAAATCGGTTTTCGGCAATCTGGGTGCCAGGCACGGCGTGCCTGGGGGTAGGCACGATCGTGCCTGGCTTGGAAAAAGCCTAGGGAGCTACTGCCATGTAGACACGATCGTGCGTGCTCTTAGGCACGATCGTGCCTGGGCGAAAACAGTCCGAAATTGCCCGAAATCCTCCCGGTTCGACCCCAAAGCTTCGTGCAAAGATCCCAACGATTTGTAACATCAATTTATGGACTAATTAAGGATAAAACACAAGTATACAAGAGGTAATACCTGCAACGGAGTCCGGGTTAGCTTGAGCATCCGCCTCCGTCATCGCATAGACCCTAGCTTGAGTCCTTCCTTGGTTCACGGATGGCGCGTTGCTCGCGCTTGCTCCCCCTTGTCCCCTGGTTGCTTGGGAAGCCCCTGCTTGGCTCCTGGTCCCCTTAGTCCTATTACTCAGCCCCGATGCCCTTGCCCCACTCAGTTGTGGGCAATTCATCTTCATATGCCCGGTGTTCCCGCATTGAAAGCATCTAGGAGGGTCGTGGCATTTTCCCAAGTGGCTCCTATTGCAATTTTTACAACGGGGTGTCCCCGGGGCTTGTGACCCCGAGTCATACCTGTTTGGTCCTGGACCACCCCTGGACGGCAATGGGGGTGCCCGAAACGATCCCCCTCCTCCATGGTTCCCTTTCTTGTTAGAACTTTGAGGTCCGTGGCTTTCCCACTTTATTTTCTTCGCCTCCTCGGCGTTCCTCAGCTTCCTTTCTTCCCATTGTTTCTCACCTTTCAAGCCTTGCTCAACCACTTGACTGAAAGTCATGTTAGGCAATTGTGTTGCCCTATCACGTACTTCCAAGTCCAAGGCATCCCAAAAGTGGCTGACCATTCGGTTCTCATCCACAACATACTCGGGTATGAACGCAGCAAGTTCTCGGAACTTGTGTTCGAGTTGTCGCACAGTGTACTTGCCTCCTTGGGTCAGTTTAGTGTACTCCCCCCTCTTCAAGTTCACCTCATAGTCGGAGTAGTATTTGGCGAAGAATTCCTGCCGGAAGTTCTCCCAAGTGACGGCCTCGCCGTACTTCCCCTTGACTCCATCCCACCATGTGGACGCCATCCCCTCCAGCAACCTCACCGCGACCCTTAGCTTAAACTCGGGAGTGAGTTGCATGTCAAGGGATGCTTCGTTCAACCTCTTGACCCATTCCGCGGCAATGGAGATGTCCCCCATCCCATCGAATGGTTTGCACCCCAAGTCCCTTGCCTCCTTGATGTACTTTGAGATCCTTATGATAGGAATCTCGTTGCCTCGGCCGCCACGTGGCTCGACGTGGGCCCTAGAGTCGCCATGGCTTCTCCCCCTTGAAGCCCCTCCCGAAGCCCGCCCTGTTCGGCGCCTCCGGCGTTCTCTCCTTAGCTCTTGTTCACGTTGATACTCACGTAGCAACGCCTCAATCCTTCTCAAGGATTCACCATTGTCCTCTTCCTCACTCAAGTTGTCATCATCCCCTTCAAAAGGGGTCTCAACCGGCTCAGTTTCCGGTTGGTAGGTAGAGTCCTCGTGGGACCAGTAGGTATCACTCTCGGTGTCAACATGACCGTCGCTCACGGTCTGTGATCGACCTCCACGGCCAGCTCCTCTAGACACTCTAGAGGCCACGCGACTGCCTTGCCCGGTCGCAACTGGCGCTAGGCCAGTCGGGTTTCTCCTAGTAACCTTGCCACCACGGTCCATTTCTGAAAAAAATCGGAAAGAGTCGTTAGACTCGTATCAAATGTCAATTGACGGATAGGTACTTAAGACACATTTTGGCTCGAGTCACCGCCATACCAATTGTTAAGGGTACCATCTTAACAATTAGAGACCTTGCAACCCAAGTACCAAAAGCTCTCCAAGTACAAAACTTCTATGCTCATGGTTTTCAAAATCTTTTCAAAAAGAGAATTTTGAGACTTCATTATGAAGTTTATGGACTAAGGCTCTGATACCAACTTAATTGTCACGCCCCGGACCTCCCCGGACACGTCGACAATCCGCCGTACAATACGAATAGTCAACCGCAGTCCAACACATTCATATTATACAAGGCGTCTTGAATATCATTCACACGTATACATCCATAAACAAACATAATAAGTAATTCATAACGCAGCGGAAAACATTGTTTAAAACAAGAAGGCCACACAAGGCATTTCATGAGCACGCAGGCTCTATAGTAAAATATCCATGAGCAAATTTGTTAATGTTTCAAATGGAATGGAGGAAGCACGAACCAAGTCTTCTCTCCTAGGAATCACTCGATCAACGAGCATAGGATGCAAGCTCTAGCCTCAACCTGAAATGGTGGTGGGACGCCCCCAAAGGGGTCAGTACTCTATACGGCTATAAAGTACTGGTGTGGCAGGCATCTAGTAGATATACAACAAGTATTTCACACACAAGACCCTCAAATAGGGTGATAATATAGTTTAGGCTGTAATCCCAAATTACCCCTTCAAAATAAATACTTACTTTATATAAAGTCAAGTAGTCGGCTCAAAGGCCCATGTTTATCACAAAACATTTCCCAAACCCCGTGACTAATGGTCACGACATACATAGGGTCCAACCCTAATATAACTTCTCATTTCTAGAGTTCGGCTCGAGTACATCATCATGCACTCGCATCATAGATCTCCTACTTCATGTAATCATATCATAGATCTCCTACTTCGTGTATTCATCCCATAGATCTCCTACTTCATACAATCACACCATAGATCTCCTACTTCATACAATCACACCATAGATCTCCTACTTCATACAATCACACCATAGATCTCCTACTTCATACAATCACACCATAGATCTCTTACTCTATGAAATCACATTTGACACTTGAATCTCATTCAAGTTCATCACAAACAAACTCAAACCTTAAGTTTGATTCTAACACATTTAGGACAATCCTTAACTAGCATCACAATACTATTAAGATTATTCCTACAACTCATTTATCATTAATGGTAGCCCCTCCATATCAATAGATATGTGGCAGCCTCCCATGTGTAAAGCATCATCATGCAATTATACATTTACATACACATAACATTCATACATGAGTTAGAAATGTCTATTTAACATAATAGCACATTTATACCTCATTTACCCCACAATCATCGGTATGGTTTCAATTCATGATCAAGTCCATTACTTATCATTCATATCATGTTCAATCATCTTTATTTATGAAAACATGATTTAAGCATTTAGGTAATCTCATGCATAACCTACAAGTTGTAAGCAACTAGATGTCGTCCTCACCTTAAAGAGCTTTAGACTTCCTTTCACGCTCCAACGACCAAGGCTCGGCCAAGGAATGTTGCGAGCTAACTCCTTGCGAAAAAAAAAAATGGGAAGCAGCCTTCTCTCAGCAGCCGGCTCTCAGCAGTTGGCTCCACCCTCCTGCCACGAAACTAAACAGTCCTCTTGAAGAGGTGTTCCCCGGCAAGTTCACCTCCTAACCGTTCAAGGTTCATTTAAGGTTAGTGCCTAACCTTTAAACTCACATGTCTAACATTCATGAATACATTCTACCCTAAGAACAAAGTGGAATAGCCTCCTAAACCTTACATATGATCTATGTAAAGAAGAGGAAGTTTTCGGGTTCAACTCACCTCTAGAGAAGAAGAAACCCTGCTGCAGGGTCGTACTTTCCAACGCAGATTTGGAAGCCTTCCTCAACTCCTATCGTCGCGATCTACACCATTCCAGAATCCTTGTTTTAAGATCTTTCTCTGGACACCTCACACGCCTGATTTGAACGAGTGAAGCTCAAGATATGGGCTGAACAATCAACCCCTACGCACAGTGACGAAAACTGCGAACTGCTCTCTCCTTTCTCTCTTTCTTTGTTCTGATCGGTTCTCTTCTCTTAGAAGCCAAGTAAATTCGAATGGGGGGTACTAAGGGTGCCCCTTAGGCCTCCCAAAAGGTTATTCCCCTTGTGTGGAGTGGAAAGAATGGGATGTGGGTTATTCTCCACCAAGTGTCACAATCAAGTACAAATGGGGTCCAATCCTTATCATTTTATTCTCTACACAAACCCACCCCATCATGGTCCGCCCCAAAAGTCAAAATACCATATTCTCATTGTCTTGTAAGTGCCAAGGAGGTGTGGTACGCACCCCCTTCGGTCCAAGTCAGCCCGGAAGGAAAATCCTTACCGATAATTCCTTACGGAGTAAAATTGAGTCTTATTATTTGTGTCTTCGTAATGCGATTTCTCTCCATATAATATCGGGCATTTATACTAACCAAGATGGTCCACATCGGTATTTGGAAACTCACTCACGAAACACGGATCCCAACGATAGGTTAACGAACACAAGTTACATCAAACACTACTCGTTTCACACAATGTCAAAGCATGAGTTACATAAGATAACACACGTGTTACACACGGCTGGTAATAACAAGTTCAAAACATCAATTACGAAACTTTCGAATAGTAAATTCGGGTACACACGGGTGCGGTGTCACACTAAGAGTGTCACTAAATTATGACACTATAGCATCACCAAATTATGACACTACGGTATCACTATACTCAATGATGTTACAGTATCACAACACTCAATGACACACTAGTATTTTGAAAACACATACGCTGATACAATGATTAGAATATATATATATACTCCCTCCGTTTCTATTTGGTTGACACAGTTTGACTTGTCAAGATTTAAGGGAAAAAAGTTATTGAGAGGTAAATTTTACTGTAGAGTACACTGTTTGGCACTGTTTGAACACTGTTTGCCACTGTTTGAACACTGTTTGGCACTGTTTGAACACTGTCTGGCACTGTTTGAACACTGTTTGGCACTGTTTGGCACTGTTTAGGTAAAGATTTGTTTACCAAATAAGGAAATAAAGAAGTGTGGCATTCATTTTGAAACGTCCAAAAAAGGAAAGTGTGTCAACCAAATACAAACGGAGGGAGTATAATTTAATACTAATAATAATACCGAAATTTCAAACATTTTTATTTATATCTCAAATTCTCACATAAATGTAAATGTACATACTACACTATACATTATTAAGGGGGCATACCCCGCCAAAAAAAAAGAATATTAAACAAGAATCAGTCACTGGACTTGATGAGCAACTATTTAACTTGGAGGCAACTCGCCTTTTGGTGATGACACCATCCTAGAAATTCCACAAACTTGCTTCATTAAAGGAGAATGGCTCTCTATGAAAGAATTAACACTTCCAAGCTAACCTTTCAACCTGAAAATGGGAAAACCAAATATTATTCATGAGGATGATTACTTTGACATCATTAATAAAAAAAACAAAGATTGCGGTTTATGCACAAGTCCAACCACTTTGTACAATAAAGGGGCCTGTGCAAATCTTGTATATGGAATCCCACATACCATTATTAGAGCCGGGGGCTTGCAAGACAGAGAAGGAGGTGTACAGGATTTGCTTGTTGGCAAGGATGATGAGCTTCTTCAGACAGATAATTGAACTATTACTAAGGTCAATGTTGCTGAAGTCTGCATTCAGACACTGCAGTTTGAGGAGCTGAAATTCAAGGCATTCGATTTGGGGTCTAAACCTGCAGGCAAGGGAACACCAACAAAGGACTCCAAGTCCCTTTTCACGCAAATCAATGCCCGCTTCTGATTTCTGTTAATTTATCCACAAATGGCATGTTAGAAATGTACTGAACTCAATTTGAAAGGGATAGCTCTGAGACAGTTGTACTGAACAATCCTAAATACCATCAAACAATTGTCATCATTATCATTATAATAAAAAAGGGAATTGTATAGCAAGCTTAATAACTTCCAGTTTCTCTGCTCCCAAAGTAAATGCGAAAAAACATTCATGTAAACTATTCAAGAATTTTGACAAACACGTGATATGCATAAGAGCATAGTAGCTAGACATAAAAGCAAACTCAGATAAACCGTTTAGAATATTAAATCTATCAAATATACAACAAAGCTAAAACCCAATAATTTTGACAAGCACATGATCTGCATACCAGGGTAAAGATGTAATAAGCACACTAATACAAAAAATTAAAGGTGGATTCAAGGAGAACATTAATGATATAACTACATACAAACAGAGACATGAAGAGAATATCATATGTAACTACCAGTTCACTCAGTAGTGGAATTTGGTATTGAAGAAAATCTCAAGCAGTTACATACCTAAAATTTTTAAAATTATGGAAAGCACTGTGACTGTGCGTAACCAAAGCTTCAAGGAACCGAATTGGTGCTGCAAAAGATTTCAAAAGTCGAATACAGAATATGGATCCAAGAAAGAGACTTGTGAGATACCTGTATTAGAATGGAGAGAAGAGGCTTGTGCGAGTGGACAGAACAGGTTGGTTCGAGTAGAGATACCTGTGTAGGCCGGGCGATTGAACTTCGACGAGAATCGCATCTCCAAGGAGAGAGAAGAATAATAATGAAGTCGCCGCTGCAAATGGAACCTACTACCGGAGATTCATCAATGGGAATCACAGCTACGACGGGGGAGAGGATGGAACTGCGACCGAAGCTTCTTCGACGGCTGGAATCAGTAGCTCCAGGGAGAGCGGAAGGCTAATCGTGAAGAAGAGTTAGGGTTCGCAAGGGGCGGGCGGAAATGTAGTTAACGGGAGAGGAAAGTTGAAGTGTTCTAAAATGATTTACAAGCCCAGCCCAAAAGAATGATTTAATAGAAAGATTATGTGTCACTGATGTACATGTTATAGAAAATGGTGACACTATTGTGTTACTAGTAGAATTTTATCTGAAAGTGTCACTAAAAGAGTGTCATTGTAAGGCATTTTTCTAGTAGTGTCAGCTGCAATAATAAGTACGTAACACGGCAACCGCAATAACTGCAACTGACACTTAACCTCAACCGCGATTTAAAACTCTAGTAAAGGTAGTAATTTAAAGCGGAAATTCCTTGAATGAGACTTAAAGTTAGCTAAAGTATCCAAATAAAACCATTATAATTTCTTACTTAAATTATGACTCTTTCAATTCTTATAGGGCAACGTTTTTGTACTTTTAATAAGATCAAAAAGTACAAAATCGATCTTGGACAAATGTTCACCCCTACTTCTTGTAAGGTGTTAGAGACAGTTTCTTAATTTATTCTTGGAAACACGTTTCTTAATTTATTTTTGGAAACACATCCTAATTTAATTAGGGGTTATGTTGCTTTGAGAACAAGACACTGCATCTCTATAAATACCACTCTCCTCTCTTGTAATCTGTATCCAGAAAATATTAATAACATTCCTGGTTTGGTAGCGCCCCCAGACGTAGTCCTCTGTGGCGAACTGGGTTACCAAATTTCGTGTGTTCTTTAATTGTTCTTCGTGTTTGTGAGTTAAATTCCTAACAACTGGTATCAAGAGCCCTAGGTTCGAAGGGAGAGTTCAACACGATGGTAGATTTGAAGACACTGTTGATGCAGTTTGATGGGACTGATTTCGGCTTCTGGAAGCTGCAGATCGAAGATTACCTGTACGGTAAAGATCTGTATCAACCTCTAGAGGATAAGCCGAAAGACATGAAGGAGAGCGATTGGAAGTTGCTGGACAGGAAAGCGATGAGCGTGGTGCGATTGTCGCTGTCCAGAAACATCGCCCTACATACCGTCAAAGCAAAAATGACGAAGGAGATGTTGCAAATATTAACGGATATGTATGAGAAACCTTCTGCTGTGAACAAGGTACATCTCATGAGGCGTCTTTTTAACCTTAAGATGTCAGAAACCACGGTAGTTGTGGAGCATCTCAACGAGTTCAATTTAATCACCACACAATTGAGCGCGGTTGAGATCAAGTTCGATGACGAAATTCATGCCCTAATTCTGCTGTCTCCTCTCCCGGAAAGCTGGAACGGAACGGTGACTACAGTCAGCGCTTCGGCAGGGAAGGAGAAACTGAAATTCGATGAAGTCAGAAATCTGGTGGTCAGCGAAGAAATTCGCAGGGAGGAATCAGGTTTGGCTTCTGGATCGGCGTTGAGTACAGAGAACCGGGGCAGAACGAAGTCAAAGTCAAAGTCAAATCGGGATAGATCAAGATCCAAATCCAAGTCAAACAGCAAGGGCAAGGACAGAAGTCAGATCAAGTGCTGGAATTGTGAGGAGTACAGATACTTCAAGAGCCAGTGCAAGGAGCAGATCAAGGATCAGAAGGAGATCTGCCAATGCGGCGGCAGAATCATCGGGTGATGATCTCCTGATTCTGAGCGTGATCAGTCCGTTGGAGTCACGGGTTCTGGATTCTGGAGCCTCATTCCATTCATGTGGTAACTCTGAAGTGATGGAACAGTATACTCCCGGCAATTTTGGAGAGGTGTATCTTGCTGATTATGAGCCTCTTAAAATTGTCGGGAAGGGGACAGTCCACGTGAAGACTCTGAACGGATGCATGCTGAAACTAAATGGTGTCCAACACATTCCTGGTTTGAGGAGGAATATTTTTTCAATTGGGCAGCTGGATGAGGAAGGTTATGCAGTTACATTCGGCAGCAGAAATTGGAAGATCACCAAGGGAGCCTTGCTGGTTGCTAAGGGGAAGAAGAGGGTACGATGTACATGACAACAAACTCAAAGGACTGCATTGATGTTGTTGCCGCTGCAACAAACGATGTGAATTTGTGGCACTGTCGGCTCGGTCACATGAGCGAAAAGGGGATGAAGGAGCTGTGCTCGAAGGGCAAATTGCTCGGCCTGAAGACTTTTGAGGTTGGCTTATGTGAGGACTGCATATTCGGGAAACAGAAACGTGTCAGTTTCTCAAAGGGAAGACGAGCTATCAAACCGGAGAAGCTGGAACTAGTTCACACCGACCTTTGGGGACCTGCAGAAGTTACATCCTTGGGAGGATCCGCCTACTACATGACCTTTATT